TCAAGATACAGTATACACAGACGGGCGTGTATACTGTATTTTGAACAAATATATACATCAGACCGGAGGCTCCACTGTGTATATAATAAATCTGCCAGTGCTCGACGTATATCTTCCCAAACGACTCTCATGTACAGGCAGATACTGTATAACATATTGCTAGAGCCATTCCCTGCACTCTAAATGGCCTTAATGTTATTCTATTAGCATACTCTTCCGGGGACAACCAAGGCCGTCAACACGTACTAGCTACTGTACTGCAGAGGTCCACATTACCCCCTGGCCATCTCTCGTCTCGTCCAACATTGTGTAAAAAAAAAAATAAATAAATAAATAAATAAATAAAAAGAAATAAGAGCAGTTCTAAAAGGAATTCGAGACGACCGAAATAAATAATAGTTACGATTTTTTGTTTGTCTTGTCCGGCCGTCACTAAAAGGAAAAATACCTAATTCTTCACAATATTTAAAAAGAAAGGCAATAGTACTAATAATATATTTTAACCTTTTCTATTTTTGGTTTAACATGTTAAAATCATAGAACACATAAACCCAACTACACATTGTCTCTCTCACACTTACACTGCTGTTGTCATGTCACCTTACGTTTCCTTTATACACATTTTCTGAACTGATGTGTCAGCTGGGTGTGTGAGTCGCTACCGTGCTCAGCCTGACACATTGTATTCTTCTGAGGTCGTGTGTTTAACTGTGTCCTCCAGCCTCTCCTTGGTGTTATCTAGTAGGCGTCACACACACCTGCCTTGGTCACCTTCGTCAACAAAAACGTCTAGTTAATGTCTGCTACGTATGTCGTCAGATAACACCAACTATAACTCATTAATACATCGAGTCGTGTTTGCTTTCGCCCAGCAGCAGCTTTTAATACCAGAAAATCGTTCATGTTAAGGTTATTACACATCAGGCTTTTTGTAAGTATTGAAATATCATACTGACATTTAGTTATCATCTTTTAAAACTATACGCCATTATCAAATGTAACTTAGAATATAAAATTTCCTAATTAATGAAAAACTTCCCCTATAATAAGAATTAATACTGATATCTAATTATATTAAAAACGGCAATACTAATAACAACAGGTACTTAAAGTATTATTATTACCAACAATAATAATAAACAGGTATTGTACTATCGATAAGACAAACATCAAAATATCAAGGTCCCTCTCCGGCTTACTGAGGCATTACCAGTCAGCAACACGCACGGACTTGGAGTGAAGATGAAAAGTTAATAACAATTACTGCAGATTGTTGACTGTGACGATACGACATAAATGTTCATGGCAAAGATATGGTTAACATGTATTGCATCTTAGGGGGAATGTGATGACGTGACCTGGTGAAATAAAACACACACACACACACACACACACACACACACACACACACACAGACACACACACACACACACACACACAGGTAGGCTCTTCTTGCTATTATATGATAAGAGTCAAGGACGGATCTATTAGAAAGGTACCTTACGACATCACTTTATGAACCAACACCTGGTGGGGGGAGGGTGTCACAGGTCACTCACCAGGTAATCCTAAAAGCACTCCACGGTACAGGTCATAGGTGAGGTTAGATTTGGTTAACATAGGTTAGATTAACATAGGTTAGGTTAGATTAGGTTAAATTATAGTTGGTTATGATAGTAAATCATAGACAGAACTGGACTCGATTCTATGAGGCACTAAGTACGATATGAATTGAATTGAAACCTTTTATTTAGCCAGAGAAACACTGATACAGAGTGGATAATAATAACAATATTAACATGGCTGAGCCAGTTGAGAACCTGAGCTCTCCTGTAGACACCTGATATATACTATACATTGATCTCAAGGAAGTATTATGTAACATTAAGTAACGTCTGGAATAGTACAATAGCATGGTGGTAATAAGAACATCTCATAATGTTACCACGGTTATCACTTCAATATTTATTAATTTTATTGATTTATTATTATTTTTTAATTTATATTATAAGTATATACGTAAATTGCAGTGGAATTGAAAAACACAAGTATAATGGGGGAGCAGTACAACCTGGGTCGTACAGTAATAAGGTTGAACAAGAGGACAGAGCTGTCAGGATTATGTCGAGTTGACACATATATTTATTGCAAAGGAAATTTCTTATCTATTTACATGATAATTTCCGATGAAACGGTTTTGATGGTACAAAAAGCAAGGTGCTGCTAAGAGTACATATGCTTCAGCTCTTACATAAGACTGGTTTTGAGACTCTTGAACAGGTTTTAGATTGTACAAGTTTATAAATACAGAAAGGGTAAAGGGAGTAGAGAGCACGACCCGTGTTACTGTGTTCAATGGTTGGTGTACTAATCAACAACACCTAATGTTAATTATAAAGCTGGGTTTTCGTGCCAATTTACCGGGTTTACGTGCCAATTACCGGGTTTACGTGCCAATTTACCGGGTTTTAGTGCCAATTTACACATGTTTAATGTCATTTAACAGATATTTTGTTAATTAATAGGAGCCTTGTGGTAATTGAAAGGACGTGTGATCATTGTAAATGGTTTAGAGGTAATCAACATGGTTTTTGTGCTCATTTTAAGGGGTCTGTAAAAAAGGAGCCATTGCACTACATATCAAGATTTAAAATTTGGGTTTTACAATAATTATTAACAGGTGCCGTACTAATCACCTGGCGCAAGAGACTACAATTTAAAGCTCGTTCTATTAATAAGTTGGTTACAAAGCTGAGCTATACAGGATCTGATGGCAGGAAGGTGTGGCATTGAATCCCCCACAAGGCTCTTCCTTTAGTCTCGCCTTGAACGATATAACACTTATTATGCTACACACGTGAACACCACATAGCTTAGCGTATTATGGCTGCCACTATAGCGAGGTATACATTGTAATAACAACAACAACAACAACAACAATAATACTACTACTAATAATAATAAAAATAATAACAATAATAATACCCTGGAATATGTCCATGAATCATTAGGTATCTGGACCAATCAGTATCATTATCGAGTTCTACCAGGCAGTGATAGCCAATCAGGTTGAGCATTATGTGTGGCCCCTTTCACATGATTACACGAGCCTCTTCTTACTCCTACCACACACACACACACACACACACACACACACACACACACACACACACACACACACACACACACACACACACACACACACACACACACACACACACACACACACACACACACACATCACACCACACCTCTCCTCAGTGTTCTCTCTCTCCTCTCCACCCCACTTTACTCTCACTGCACGTCGGAGGTCACAAGTCGTTGCATATGTAATTAAACCAACCACTGGTTGTTCCTACCCTCACCAACCAACCACACACACACACACACACACACACACACACAGTAAATATTAAATCCAATTTGGTGATTAAAGTCAGGTATTGGTGCTTAGTGAGGTAGGCTGCGTACAGTTGAGGCAGACTTCGATCACTGAATAAATTCCTAAATATATCAAGACATTCTTCTTTCCCAACGGCTAGAAGAGGAGTGACTCAGGAGGCCATGTAAAGTAGTACTTGTATAAAGAAAATAAACCCTTTCTTATAACACCTAACCCTCCGCATTCATCTGACAAGAAACTGATGCTAACTTAGTACACACTGCTTGGTACAGGTGATAGCCTTGACTGTTCTCTTGGTCTTCAATCAGAATAAGTCAATGTCGTTAGTATTGTCGAGTGTCCTTCAGCGTGAGGTGCATTGATAATAGAGTTTACTGGACGATAACCACTGGACAATCCTCTGGGCCTTAACCTGCTTCCTTTTGGCTAAAGCCAACTGTGAGGGTTTTACTGCCACCTTCACAATTCTTCTTATAAAGCAAATAAATATCAGATTCCACGATCAATGAAGTCTATGTTATCTCTGACTTGATGCCGTATATACAAGTATATTACTCAGGTAAAGAATATGCCAGGTGATGTTATTGTTCCACTGTGTCAACTCCGGGATGTCCTTCACTATCCACCGTAATTACCGTAATCCTAAACTAAACTTTTCCTCCTACCTCGAGGCAGGAGAAAATTACCATGAGCATAACTTGTCTCATTAATGTACTTTGCCGGAAACAAATAATCTAGATCTTGATTCTTAATGTTTCGTACAGTGAATATATCTCGTGAGGTCAGACATACCTGCAGGAAACTAACCGGTCGTCTCAAAACATGAAAAATAACAAACTAAACTTATCATGAAATTTACACATTTAACTATATTAACGAGATACTTCATTCAGCATCATAAAGTAGAGAGTCTGTCCTGTATGGCAATGTTGTCTCCCAGCTGATGTTAAGTGAACGTACTTAGTGAAGAGGGTAAGGGCTCGCTCACACGGAGGCCGGAAGAGATATTCTGACACAAATTGTCCAGAGACAGACGATATGCGACGCCGTGGTGGGTATTATTATTTACTCAGCTAATACCCGTTACACGACTCGCTGTCTTTCAAGGGGGAGGAAAACTGTCTTCCCTCTAGGATAAAATTTGAAAAATTCGAATTAGATGTTATTCGATTATAGTGTGAGATTTGTGTTGTTAATTTGAATCACTCGGTCGGACAATTTGCGTAAGAATATGTCCGTTCCGCCCACAGTATGAGCGGGCCTTAAGTTTTTGTAGTCAAAATATTCTTATTTAATATTTGTGCTTTATCTTAATTAAATTTGTCAGTTAGGGAGTTCAGCCATCGGACGTGGGCGCTAAACCTCAAGCTTCTTACATAAAGAGGACCCCATCAAACAAGTTGTTTATGAAATATGGGGATTTGAACCTACCCCATTCTGCTAACTTGTCTTGAAGCAGCTGAACACTTGTGAACTACTTAAAACTGAATGAGAGATGTTAGAGAAAATGCTGCATGATGCTGTGTTCTGCGAGTTCTGGGGAAGAGATGATAACAAATTTGCACACTTTAAAGTTTTAGAATGTAAGATATATTACCTTGGTCATCCTCGACGGTTCCATCACTGTCCTCGGTGAAGGCGGAGGACGACCCTCTGGAGAGGGATCGTCTCTCGTCGTCTGTGTCCCAACCCACTCCGGAGTCACATATGGACACCAGCCGCTCGGACAACCTCCCGGTAGAAGAGAACTCCTGTTCCTCTCCTAGGGTCAGGGAGCTTGTTTCCTCCCATTGAAAGTTCGAAAGAGTCTTTGACAATTCACTGTTGGTTTCTTCACTAACTCCGACGTTGAATAATGATGTCTGGGTAACGTCTTCCTGCTGTGATTTTGCTGATACATTAGGTGGCTGAGAGGATGTGGCCTGGACCTGAGTCTCGTGAGCTGTGGAGTCCAGGGAAGCTACGACTTGCATAGTCTCCAAGAGCCTACACGACTGTCGACTGACCCGCGCAACCAGGGCCGACTGTCGCGTCATTAAAGACTGGAACAACTGCCGGCGGAATGGACTTTGATGCGAATCAGTGGGTGATGACACGACGTGTAGAGGCTCCAGAGAAGACTCCGGCGTGGGGGAAGAAGAGGAGATGAAGAGGCCGTCCACAGAATCTCCCCGACATAGTGTGAATGATGGGTTAGGGCTGATGGAGCGTGCAGCTGGAGAGTTGGTCACTGAGGGAGCACCTAGCACCTCTACTGACTCCCCGGGACTTAAAGTTGCATCTGAGGACGGTGTTAAGGTACTCGAGGATGTAGAGTTTGAATGTGAGATTGTTCGCACTTTCTTCTTTGCTGAGAATTCTTGGGTTATTGGTGGGGAGGGGGACGAGATGTTCTCTGAAGATTTGAAAACTGTGGATTGGATAATTGGTATTGGAGAGGAGTCATTAAGAGCCTCAAGTGAGGAGAACCTGGTCATTGTTGCAGAGGCTTCGTCAGAAATGGTCCCTGACCACGGGCATTTGGGAACACTCGAGTTAGTCAGTATATCGCCCATACGCATGCGTGCACCGAGGGGAGAAGCCCCGTCGGGCACGGCACTTGCATACACGTCCTGGGGTTCTCTCAACGTCAAGTCTTCCTGACTGAGCCACACCTGGTTCTTCAGCATCATTATCTTTGACGCTACCTTCAGGGCATGACCATCAACATGTTGCCCTCTGTCGAACCCCAGACACCTCCTCCCCCCGGACGACGCCCTTCTAAACGGCTTGATTCTTTCTCTGTAGTTCCCGACATCTTTAACAGGGCTAAAATCAGGTCTCTCGTCTGTATAACACTGGAATTCATATTTCACTTCTTCACAGGCGGGATGACTTCTGGGAGGGACAGAGCCCAGAGGCGTGGCGATGACTGCCGCTGAATCCATCGTTTGAAGGAAGACTAACAGTAGACCCAGGAACTCGGCGAGGTTTTACTATTCTCCTCCTCCACGCTCCCTCTTCTCTCACTCGAACACTATTTAGGATACATAGTACCCGTTTTGACATTAGTTACGGTTCTCTTTTCCTCACGTGAAACTATTCTTTGTCCTTTTTTATTTTTTTTCTGTTTTCATTAATTGTTACCAACCTTAAAATCAACATCTTAAAGTACTTGGTAATACTTTTATTGCTGCTGAAAAATACCATGGTCATTACATTCCCGAGTAAACACTGAACGAGTTTTACCATTATATTTTCCCTCTCACCTCAAACCAACTTTAATCTGCTACAGTTAGTGATGAAACACCTGCACTGTGTGTGAGAAACAAACCCATCACCAGCCTCTATATCTACTCATTCTGTCAATAATATTTCTATCAAATTCTACTGAAACTTAGTTTATTTGACGCTGATTTATGAAAACATACACTATTGATTTCATATATCATACATTTATAAACTGTTGTCAATGAGTTCCAGGTATCACCGTGCATGTGGGTCCCGAAGGTCTGACTGTTTTGCTACACAAGGAGGCACTATGATCGACACTGCACTAGTCCGCTTTTATTGATCCAGCTGTGAAGTTAGGTACTCATACACAGCTGGGTAGACTGGGGATACCTTAAACGCAAACCAGGGACCGTGAGGGCAGGAAACAAGACATGTAAAGTGATGCAATTCACACTCATAACATCACGTGACGTTATTATACAAGAGAATACCACCATTCATCACAGAACAATACGCGACCCGCCCTTCCACTCGCCCGCCGACGTCTCCCATCACTGTATATAAAACCATAAAACCCGACTGAAGCCAACCGGCAGCGTAGGTGGGCTCACGATATCCCCACGCGGCAGGAGTTACGACCTGTCCCTGTGTACCCACCACCCGACTCACTCATCACGCGGGTGGAACTCGGTACCCGCTCCCTGGTGTACAGCTTTAAAAAAAAAAACCTTAATTCACTGATATGATAATAAGATGACGCTATCACTAAGATATTACACAAAAGGTCGAATTTTATACCCTGGGTACGTATTGTAAAGGTGAACTGTCTTAAAAAATAAAATATCTAGAGGTTGTTGGTGGTTACAGCCAAGGGGAGGTGCACGTGGGGCCAGGATGTGACGAACACAAAATAAAAAAGCAGAGGATAACACACACACACACACACACACACACACACACACACACACACACACACACCTCCCACGACTATCACTTTAATCCAGCGGCTCAATTTCAGCTCCAGTTTCCACAACGACTACCACAAAGACTCCTGAATAACTCTGTCATTTATATAACACGACAACTACCATTAACCCCATAATAAAATCTACAACGACAAAATTCTCCCTGTTTTATCCTGAAAGACGACAATACAGAAATATTTATAAATTCTACATATTAGTTCAGTGTTGCTATAGTAAATAATGAAGAAAGCTGTACCTAATATTGGTGACCATTCAACAAGTTTCACAACAGTACAATTGACTTGAAATGTTGATGACCAAATTGACCACAGTTGGCAGCCATAAACACGCATTATTATTTATGGCAATTCTTAACAGGAAGAGAATGATAAAGAATTAATGATTGTTGATGTTAAGAGTGAAATGGAGAATGTGATAATGAAGAATATCCTCAGAGCTATTTCACTTTCCCTTCACCTCCACAGCTAACACCTTGTATAATGCCCAATATGTGTATAGATGGTGTGGCGGTTTTCATTTAGATAGTAGTAGGGATAAAATCTCTTTATCAGACCTCATAAAAACTCCTTTACGTCACATGGAATCAATCCCCTTTACATTCTGCCCTCACATAATAATGAAACCCCTTCACCCTTCACTCTAAAACCAGTCTAAACGTTCGACTCTTATCATTACGGTGACTCGGGTGTTTCACACACACACACACACACACACACACACACACACACACACACACACACACACACACACACACACACACACACACACACACACACACACACACACACACACACACACACACACACACACACACACACACACACACACACACACACACACACACACACACACACACACACACACACACACACACACACACACACACACACACACACACACACACACACACACACACACACACACACACACACACACACACACACACACACACACACACACACACACACACACACACACACACACACACACACACACACACACACACACACACACACACACACACACACACACACACACACACACACACACACACACACACACACACACACACACACACACACACACACACACACACACACACACACACACACACACACACACACACACACACACACACACACACACACACACACACACACACACACACACACACACACACACACACACACACACACACACACACACACACACACACACACACACACACACACACACACACACACACACACACACACACACACACACACACACACACACACACACACACACACACACACACACACACACACACACACACACACACACACACACACACACACACACACACACACACACACACACACACACACGGCGTCACCATAGACAACAAACTAAATTGGAAACCACACGTCAGTGAAGTTGTCAAATCCTCCAGTTTCCTCCTCCACCTCCTCCGCCGACTCAAGTCCCTCAGAGTTCCTGCACCCGAGCTCCTCAGTGTTTACACAACATTCATACTTCCCAAGCTCACCTATGCCTCCCCCACCTGGTCTTCCTTCCTAAATGCCACACAACGGAAACACCTAGAAAAAGTGCAAAAGAGGGCATGCAAGATCATTCTCTCCCCTTCCTACTCCACATATCAAGAAGCGCTCAACACACTGACCCTTTCGACTCTCACTGACCATCACCACGACCTCATCTGCAAATTTGAGTTACACATCTACATCACCATCAGGAACCTAACCTAACCAAAGCCTACTCTAACCTAACCGACCATAGCCTAACCTAACCTACTCTAAGCTAAACCAAGCTAAACTAATCTAACCTAGTCTAAGCTAAACCAAACTAACCTAACCTAACCTGGTCTAGCCTAACATAACCTAGCCTAGTCTAGTTTAACCTCACCGAACCTAACCTAACCTAATACCACATAATGAACACTCGCTATGGTTGATTCTCATACAATTCCTCCAAATAATCACTCATAATTCTACAATGACGAACTTACAAGAGTGACACTAATTTACAAAATTCTTTACATACATACATACATAGATACATACAAGCATACATACATACATACATACATACATACATACATACATACATACATACATACATAGTGGTATATGCGCATTAGTATTGTAAGGAGAGTCGTAAAAGGAGCGTTTACCAACTAAAGCAAGTATAAACAAAACTACCTATTAGAAAGTAGTTTAGTTTGTGGGACTTTCTTCTGAAGCCTCGAGGTACAGCGCCAGTTATAAAGACTTTCAGGTAATTAATTTGGTAACAGTGGTGCCTGACCAATACAACTGACGGAGCAAGTGATGACAGTATCGGTAAGGTTACTATCATGTGGTAAGAAGGCGCTATATAGTACTCCCTCACCTTAGAGCTTTATAGAAAGTACCATAATGATAAGTAAAGGTGAAAAAGAAAGTGAGTGAAAATTGACGTTGGTTGATTAATGTACGTCTTGGAGGCTAGTCTGCCGGGTCCGTCTACCTTTCACTAGGCATGCGAGGCCTAATCTGTTCATCTCGTTGTCTGGAATCTCTCCAACTCCCAAACCTTCAGCCAAAGACTGTGTCGCAAGAGGGGGAGGGGAGAAAGTCTTTATCTATAATATTCAGCTGAAATATAACTTGTGAAGTGTTATATCGTAATTCTTCAAATGGCCTTGTTGGGAAAGACAGAGACAAAGAGATCATAGCCAGAAATACTAAGGATCTATTTTGCTGGATAAATATTCTCAACCTGAAGTTACAGTCGAAATTTGTTACTACCAGTATGTTCACTCAAGGGGAAGACGCCGACAACGGGGGATGCTATGTGGATGGTGCGCAGTGAGAGTGTGGGAGAGGGGTCAGGAAGTGACCTAACCTAACCTTACCGTGCCACCCCAACACTACACACCACCGCCGCAACACTTTCACACGCGACACGCAAATGGGGCACTACAATAATACCGCAGGGAGTAAGCACTAAGTAAGTGTTTTATAGTTCTACAGTTACGACTCCACCTTCCGTGATCATTACATCATCTTACAACGTACAGTACAGCCCGTCCTTAACACGCCCACCACATACGGCCGTCTTCATTCACCCACAAGTCTCATTTTCTCTCGTTTCATGTTTTTTTTTTGTTTTCTTATTCTGCGACTTGTAACACCAACAAATCTATTGCTAGCAGAAGGTAAGCTACAGCACCAACAAGGAACAGGTAAAAGTGAACACACATTAAGATTCTACGAGCTGGAGTCGACCCCCAAGACCTCCGGAACTTTAGGTGAATACGGTAACCACAAGTCAACGGGAGTCGCTAACACACCGCCAATATGGAGTAAGTATTCTCTACAGTCACACCCATGATTCGTCTCAGTGACCTCAGGATCTTCAGGAGAATACAGTAACCATTACACTTACTACTAGTTTGCCTATACTAGTGTACCATTAACTTGTACAGTAACAGCCTACAGTATCAACAACAACCAATCCTACAGCATAACTACAGCGGTGGAAAATAATCTCTCTCTCTCTCTCTCTCTCTCTCTCTCTCTCTCTCTCTCTCTCTCTCTCTCTTTCGTCACTCTTCGATACATTAAAAACCCGTCAAACAACTTTCTTCAACACGGGTTCTGTTATTTTACGTACGTCTAGACAATGTAACAACAGTAAATTCTAGGTTTACTGAGGTACACCTTCACTATATTTCCCAACAGTTCAGAAGTAATACAGGAACCAGCAATTCATCGGCATCTCACATCAGACATTTATGCTTCTGGGAAACTGATGTATACGAAAAGAATTATCATATGCGGAAATAAAACCACAGAGTTGCTTCTGTTGGACTGACCCTGCATACATGTATCAAGATACTCTCTCTCTCTCTCTCTCTCTCTCTCTCTCTCTCTCTCTCTCTCTCTCTCTCTGTTATGAAAATTACAATATAACCATATAACCTACAGTGATCCTAT